GAACCTAATATCATAGAATATTCTGAAAATAAGAAAAGTCTATTGTTTACGTTATTGTAGATTCAGAGAAAAAGAAGAGAATGTCTGTGGAATGGATGTTCTTTGGAGGATTTGTGATGGAGAACCAATTATTTTGCAGAAACATAAACCCAATTAGTGAGAACCAACAAGCTCAAACAAGATAATCCCAGAAATCATACCCAGACACATCACAGTCAAACTCAAAACTGGTTCCTCTTTGCTTATTTCACTGGGCATTGCTGATCTGCATCAGCAGCTCATCACCTGCTCTCAGGGACAGGCGAGAGAAGGACAAGGTCAAAGCCGCCAACCAACAGTGAGGACTCTGCTGGGAGTGCACTTATTCCAAAAGGCCAAACCAAGGAGGAAGAGAACTGGACTCCATCTTGGAGGGGGTAAGGCATGTGGGAAGTGTGGACTCTGAAAAAGGTGGGGAGGCCAAAATTTCTTGGTTCAGTCTTTGATGTGGAGGAGGAGTTGGAAGAAGAGTTGGTGTTGACGGGGGCGCGGGCCCTGTTTTGGGATTGTGGGAGCTTGGAACAAAATCAAAAACAACAGAAAGCTATTCCAGTGTTCCTTCCTGTTATCAAAGCAAGGATCTCTCTGATGGAAGGTGAACATGAAAACCACTACCTCTCAGAATTAGTAACCAGCAGACTCTTGGGTGCTCACACCAGAAGAACCATGTAGCCACTGAGGGGATGATGCAATGGTGTTCCTCAGCAAGAACTACTGGAGGCAGTTTATTGCATGTCTCAAGCATGTCCATTTATTGCAAAGCAAGCACAATCTTTTATAGTCCCGCAGACAGGGAAGGCAGAAGGGTATCTCCCAACAATCCTTCCCCATCAAAGGCAGTGTAATTGGCTAGAAAGCAGCTATGACTCTGTTGACCCTTCATCCTGTTACAAGTCAGTACATCATGTATAGGTAGCAGGCATGCTGCAGGTCACATCTACCATGCATCGCTGGCATGAAACATAAGACCATAACACTTTCTCAGATTTGTGGATAAAGAAAGTACCAGCACAGTTCATCCAAAGAGTGAGAGGGAAAACTGGGACACAACCCACTGTTCTCACCTATATAATCAATGATCAGGTCAGGTTGAGGTCTTGCTGTGTTACGACCACTGCCAAGGAATCACACCATGCCCTTATGACTTTCCACATAGGCCATGCAGGCAGAAATCCAAGGCTGATCTCTCACAAAAGACCTGTCTTCATTTATAGCTGTGTGTTTAGTACTTTTCAGGGTATTATTTTGATTTGACAAAAACCCTGCAAAGTGAGTGTGTTGGTTCCCTTTCTATGCACATTTATGGAATCGTTAAAAATCGACGTCGACACTCATTACTTCATATGCTTTGTGTGGAGGAAGAATGACAAAAAGCAGCTCCCACCTTCTCACTTACTTGCAAATTTTCTTTGAGACCTGTATGTAACTCAACTTTTCAAATAATCATATATGAATCTTCAGAAAAATAAACATGTTGTCTTGATTGTGGAAGTTGTTCTTATCTGTGTCTTCTATTTTCTGTATTCATGAGAGACTCATTAGTTTATGGCAATCATCACACAGATACACAAAAGAGTACTTATTTATTTAGAAGAGAAAAGGGCAAACTGACAAATCTCACATCTGCATTAGAAAGAGTTGATTCTACTTCATAAAATTGCCTCTTGGATTTGAATTCATTACTAAAGGTGTGTGTTCATCTTCTCACATGAACAAAGCAGAAACTTGAGAAGCCCATGGTCTTTTTAATGAGATTTCTGACATTGAGACTTTTCCTGTGCCTGCTTGTTATACTCAGGTAAGGCGATACAGAGTACCACACACTGAAAAACCTTTGCAAGTCCTTTCTTGGCAGCAATGAGGAAGGGCTCCTGCCCTTAAGACATCTCAACCCTGAACTACAGAGCACTTGGATTTATAAAGAAAAAAGCCACAAACCAGGAGGGGCTTAGGTAGAATGAGCTAGTGCAGAAGTACCTTAGGGTGAGCACATTTTAAAAGTTCAGAAAGTATATATTTTAAGCTATATTTAGGATGTAAGATGAAGCAATTTAAAGGGGTGGCCTTATTTTCATTTAAGAGAATGTATAGTACTGTGTAATAGAGACTGTAATATCCAGATGAGAGGATACAATGCAGAATGCATCTCTACTTCCAAATCAAAGATGGACTCCCAATGAAATTGTTGGATATATCTAGTCAATAGGATATTGCGTTGTCTGGCATCGTCCATGCCCGCAATCTCAGGATACACTTAAATAGTAGAATGATAAATTTTTGCCTGCTTATGAAAGACTATAGTATTGTAACAATATAGGTAAAATAAGTGTGGGGGCAGGACTTGGAGGGGGTAAGTTAAATCACAATACCTATGGAACTGTATCATAAAAAAATCTAGAAAATAGTAGAAGAGGCAGAATCCTTGTATAACACAACTGTAAAATCTGTCAATGGACAGGCCTTTCCTCTCACTCTTTGCGTCTTTATGATTTTATACTCAGAATCAACACCATTAAAATGCCGTAGCAGGAAAGTTAACAAAGTAGGACTTTGGGTGTTAGCTGTGCAGTCAAGTCAATCTGAGTGATGTTTCTGATGTTTTTTTTTTTTTTCAAAAATAAAAAAAAAACACGGAAGTTTAAAAAAAATGAGAGAGTGACCACTTCTTTTTCCCAGATATTTTCTCCAAGATGTTTTCTGACTCTTGGTGGTGAGTGACAGAGGTGAGATGAAATCATAATCAAGTCCAAGGAACCTGGACCCTCTGAGATCTGCTCATTATCATGCTGCCTTCTGCTCATTAGTGTACATTCAGTGTAATTAGGATTAGGATCCTAATTACATGTACATTCAGTGTAATTAGGATCAAGAAGTTCCTGGACTTGACAGTTAGGAGCACAGCAGGGAGAGGGCAGAGCTGGCCCTAGGGACCCAGAGCACACTGAAGAAGCCAAACTCATCACACTGACAAGCTGACATCAGTGACAGCATCTCTGAGTGCTGGGACGCAGGCAAGGATAAACAGGCTTGGCTGTGCTGCTCTGCCACGCTCCTTCCACAGGCCTGCAGACTGCTCAGGTGAGTGAGGCTGAGTGTGTGTGTGTGTGTGTGTGTGTGTGTGTGTGTGTGTGTGTGTGTGTGTGTGTGTGTGGATATGTGTGTGTATGCAGGGAGAGCTGCCTTTGCTCTGGAAGGGAAGCCGTTCCAGGTAGGGCTGTTAAAGGTCTGGTAGGGAGTGGATAGGGTTTCAGCTCCTCTGTTCCCTGTGGAAGAGGAAGGTGTGAGTGCTCAGGTTGAGGGTGGCTGTCACTTCCCAGCACATCCAGCAACACCTGCTTGTGTGGCCCTGTAGGGAAACTGTGTGCAGCAGAGCCACTGATGCCCTGAGCCCAAGGTTGCTGCATTTCTCAAGTGTGAGGGAGACTGGGGGCATCAGGCAGTAGTGGGCTAGCAGCTTGGGTGGGGAGGCCCCTTCCTACAGGCTCTTGGCTCTGTGCACCTTCCCTTCCTGCATGGGAGTTTTTACTTTCTCTCAAGTTTCTCTTCTGTCTGATGTCGTTCAGTGCTTTCTGCTGATTTATTATGGACTTTTTTGAAAATAATGATTTTAAGTTTTCTAAATTCTCCATTTTTTAGAACCACCATATGACACAGTACCTCATGCAAGAAAATGGATCAAATGTGACATCTGGTAGGAGAATACATAACAACACAGTCAGAAGTGCTTGGCAATCAGTGTTTTCTTCTTGCTGGGGACTGACGTGAGCACTCTGTACATTTGCTCAGTTCTCATAGTGAACTTGAATGATATAAATTGCCATCCTGTTTACAAATGACAAAATATAGTCTGAGGAAGGGCAGGTATGTTTCCAGCATCATACATGCCAATGTTTCTTGGGGGATACGCAGGCTAAATACAAGGCATACAGGAAAAAAAGGAAATGAAACAGTAATCCTTCCTTGTTTACTGCAGAGGTAGAGGAGCATGAGCCTCAGCTGCCCCTCCCTCAGGCAAGGAGCTTTCTCTCCCTTGCCCTGCTCCAGGACAATCAGCTTGGAAGGGGTGAGTTACATCCTCAGCCTAAGGAAGCAGCCAATCATATTAAAAGCACGTATGGTTCCTAAGCCTAGTTTTTCTTTATAATTGAAACATAGAAATTATACAAATTGACAGATTTCAAAATGTTATTTTGGTACCTGAATATAGTTTGTAAGGAATACAGCATGATATACCTCATGCTTTATCATTTGCTTGTATTGGAAACATTCAATTGGCTCTCTACTGGCTATTCTGAAATATGCATTATTTATTGTACATGGCGCAAATATTGCTGGAGTATAGAATGTTACCCCTCCTAGACATCTATGCTCTTCTATCCATGAATTTCCTCATCCAGTTCGTGGAATTTGTTACATCCTGTGATAAACACTTGTGGGTTGTTCCCTTGTTTGTAATGGAATTTTCACTCCAACAGATAAGTGAGGACAGGCCGCGTTTGTCTTTCTGTGCCTAGATAAATTCGCAGAGCTCACTGGTACAGAGGATGTGCATGGGGCACCAGCACAGACCAGATGGCTAAGGTGCTGAGTGTCAGCAATGAAAAGGAAGGGCCTCAACATCATGGCTTGGAACTGATGACGGAGTGTTATGACTTGATGTTTTCTGGGAAAAGTTCTTCAAGTACCTTTCCACCTGATCAATACCTATAACGCTCTTGTAGAAAGACAGGAAGATGCACTAACACAGATGTCATGTTTCAGTTTTCAACTGTTACCATCCCTGTTTCAGCAGAACAAACATAAAAAAGGAGATCAAATAGGAGATGATGGAGCTTCTAAGAATGAACAGTGAGGTATGAACGTGTATGTGCAGCTCAACCTGCATGTGCATCATCACTGCTCTTGAATAAGCAGAGAAGATCCACACACCTGAAATTTGCCATGTTACCTTCTTTGTTTTCCTCAAACTGTTTCTCTAGTCTTGCTCCTGAAGTCACAGGATGACCTGGAGTGACCTCATCCAGAGAATAATCATCCTTTCTCTCTCTGGACCTGGAATGGTGGGGAACTTCCTCATAGTTGTGAGACATGCACACACTTTGATCATGGGTCCTGTGAAAAAATCCATAGACCTTATTCTCATCCATTTGGCTTTTTCAAATATTATCATCATCTGTACCACAGGAATGAAAGACATAGTCACAGTCATTTATATCAGTAACTTCCTACTAGGTGAGATTCTTTGTAAAATTGTTATTTACCTGAATAGGGTGGCTCAAAGTCTCTCCATCTGCACCACATGCCTCCTCAGTGTAGTCCAGGCCATCACCATCAGTCCCAGGAACACCTTGTGGAAACAGCTCAAACCACACACTGCATGGCAGGTTCTTCCCCACCTCCTCTTCTTCTGGGTCTTTAGCTTCCTCATTGGCTCTAACTTTCTCTATTATATCACAGCAGTCAACAACATGAATGAGTCTAGTGTTAGACTCTACATTGAACATTGCTACATGCTGCCAGCTCCACAAATGATCAGATGGCTCTTCCTCTGCCTCATGGCTCTCCGGGACCTCACCTTTCAGAGTATTATGGGCTGCAGCAGTCTGTACATGGCTGTCTATCTGTACAAACATCACAAACATGTCCTCTACCTCCAGAGCTCCAGGTGTGCCAAATATCCCAGCCCAGAGATCAGAGCTACTCAGAGTACTGTCATTCTTATGACCTGCTTTCTGTTCTTTTATTGGGCGGATTTCATTTTGTCCTTCTACATAGGGTTCACTCTGACACAGATTTTCACAATATCCAAGCTTAAACTATTTCCAGAATTTGGTTTTGCCAGTCTCAGTCCCTGTGTCCTGATGGGCCAAAAATTTTACCTTGCTAAATGCTGGAGTGCTCACTGAGGGGTGCAGGATAGAGCTTCCCTAATGCCTCCTCCAGTTCCTGAAAATATAGCTCAAGGTCCCAGTGCTGAGGCCTACTGGCTAAAGTCCTCGCCTTGAACATGCCAGGATCAAATATGGGCACTGGTTCTAATCCCAGTGGCCCCACTTCCAATCTAGCTCCCTGCTTGTGATTTGGGAAAGCAATTGAGGATGGCCCAAAGCCTTGGGACCTTGCACCCATGTGGGAGACCTAAAAGAGCTCTGGCTTCAGATCAGCTCAGCTTTGGCCGTTGCAGTCACTTGGGGAGTGAATCATCGGATGGAAGATCTTCCTCTCTCTCTATATATATATAATTTTGCAATGAATATAAATAAATCTTTAAAAATATACAGCTCTAGAAATTGCCTTTCCCCAAATGCATGTAGCACTAAATCATCGAGGCTTGTACAAATAGGCTTGGTTTCTAGAAGCAGCCTGATACTAGGCAATCTAAGCTGATTCAGATGTTGTAGGAACCTAGAAAGAGATCCTTCCTTTGCCTTCAGTTTGCCGTCCCTAACACTTGGTTTTGTGTTCTGTTTACTTGGTTTTTGCTTGATTTTCCTCTTTTAAACCCAGAGTGACAGATAGGACAAGGTTAGCTCATTTGCCGTTTTCTCAAAAATAAAGGTGCAATTACTACAAATCACCACATAAAAATGCACCAGATAAGAATGCAGTACTATGAAATTCCAAAAGTTCTGTTTGTACTAAAATATTTCCAAGTGGCTTTCACTTGCACAGTGCACAAGCAAAAAATGGCATATTTTTATTACTTCAACACACTTTAACAATTCATCCTTTTAATCATTAAAATGTAAAATTCACTCACCCATTGTGCATTTGCCTCAATGTTGTACACACACGATCACTATCGATTCTAGAGTTTGTCTTCATTCCAAATGAAATTCTGTACCTATAACACAACAATTTCCCATGTTTTCCTTCCTTTGTTACCTGTTAATTTTTGTTCCTTCCATTTCTCTCTACTGGAGTATTTTAAAATCACAAACATTAAGGAATGTTAATTGAAATATGAGCCCAAGGCATGTGATGGAGTGGTGCTTAAGTCACAGGGCTGAGACATCCATGCCTGAAAGCTTGAGTTTTACTGTTGTTGTTGCTATTACTATTGTTATTGAAAGTGCAATGCAGAGAGCTATAATTTTCTGGTACACACGCCGTGTGACACAAACGGCCAGGTTTGGGCCAGGCAGAATTCAGGAGTTGGGTCTCTGCCATGGTCTCTCACATGCATGATTGGGACCCAGATACTTTGTCCATTTCCTGTACATGTCCAGAGGCATAGGATCAATGAAAAAAAGCATATCCATGAGTTGAAACTACTGATATGGAATCACAGGTGGCAGAGCACCCACTGTGCCTGACTCATTTGTTTAAGGGAAAAATAGCATCTCCTTTCAGGACAGGATTTCAGTTTCACTGCAGATGCTTACTTGTGTGTTGATTTACCAGTAGGCTTTTGTTTCCCTCTTCTGGCTCTAGTGGCCACTATTTCAATAATTGCTAGTATAGATGTCCCTGCTCAAGTAATTGCTTTCCTTGGTTTGAGTGGATAGCTAGGGTGGAATTGCTGGAGCATAGGTTCATTGTAACGTGTCAAAAACCCCAATATTTAGATTTTTTATTAGTTTCTGGAGAAGCAGCACTGCAGCACTGCAGATGACCATGTCCATTGCAGCAGCAGAAATACCTGCTGGAGTCCAAGTTGAAACCCCCACATCTCCCTTTGCATCACACCTACCACACACCATCTTCAGCATTCCTATCCCAGTCTTTGTCTTCCCAGTGCAGCCTCGGCACCGAGCTTTGGATTCAGGCTCCCTGTTGCCAAACCTGCCTCTTCCATTCCTTGTCAAATCATGCTCAGCACATTGTTGGACACTCCAACAAGACTGC